GCAGATAATTGAGGAGCAGCTGCATTTGGAATGTGGCTGTACAGTTACTGAATTTCCCTTATTTCTTCTTCCTCCTTTTCATCCAGTGAGCAGTTCTTTATAAGGAGGTAAAGGGACAGTTCTCCTGCTTCTTACCTCTAACCAAGCACAGTAGAAGATTCTGACCACCTTCTTGACCCTAATGTGAATAAAAAAGTGCCCAGCTGGACTGTGCAAAGTGTTCCTTTATGACCTTCTGTTTGGAGCTTGAAGCCTAATCCTAGGAGTTCAAATTGAGACAAAGTAGCTTCCACTTGAGTTGTCTGTAAATGTTTCCATGGCACATACCTATTGTGTGATGCCTTCTGAGATGATATCAAGCTTGGCAAACCTGGAGATAAGGATGCTGTGGGCTAGCAGGATCTTCTTAGATCTTATCCTGCTGGCACTGAGGAAGATAAAGGCAGAAGGACTTCCTGGGAAATGAACCCCTGCAGTGGACACAGCCGATTTGTCTGTCCCTGTGTGCTGCATGCACAGGAATCAATCATGTACCCTCAGGCTGAACAAGCTCTGGGAGCTTTTGCAGGCTTGAAATAAGTGATTTCTCAGAGTCCTGCTACTCCTGGCTGGGAGAAAGCAGGGCAGATGACAGGGCACTTCCCTGGCAGTGCTAACCCTGTGGTGCTCACTTGCTCCCACAGGCAGAGATTGTTTGCACCTTTGCAGCCTGTCTGTCACTGTAGCCTGTCCCTTGTCTGTTAGTGAGTGGGAGGTTTCATCTGAACTGCTTACACTGAGACTCTCTGGGCTGTTCTCCCAGGCAGTGTGGAATGTCCAGTGCAGATTAGGAACAAAGGACCTGAGACTACTGTAACCATTACATACCGTGGTCAAACATGCTCCAGTAGAGTGGGGGCAAGGTGCTGAAGTAAATTTCCTTTTTTGCACTGACACCAGGGGGAACTGAAACCATTCAGGGCACTAAAGGGTTGCAAGGATGGAGTTTTTTTTCTAGGAGGAAAATGCAGTTCTGGATCCTCAGTGAATAGGAGGTTCAGGTGGCTGTAATCTGCATAGTAACGGTGACTGTTTCTTTAACGGCAGGGCATTGGCTTACCTCTTCTTCCTGATAGGATTTGCTTAGTGAATGCGTTGGGAGATGAGAAGCATAAAGTAATATGATATTTGAAAGGCATCTAAATGGGTGGAAGAGTTTCAATCCCTTCAGATGCATATGTGGGAGTTCTCCTTTTCACATCCCTGAGAATTAGCAAGAAACCTTTGGAGGGTAATGCTGCCTTTCCAGTTATTGCAAGGGCAAACTGTTGTGATCTGGTGTGCTCAGGAACAGTTTCTTTTCTGAGTAATTTCCCGCTGAGCTTGGTACTGACCATGCTGGTAGACAAATGTTAAAATCTAGGCATACAGAGTCAGTCCTTGGGCTCCCTGTGTTAGTAGCTTCCTAGATCCATGCTGCCTCGGGGTTGGAGGAGTGAGAAGCCTGCATGTGACAGGGCACTTTTGGGTTGTGTGTGACCTTCAGGCAAGGACCAGTGTCTCACTTGTTAAGCTGTATGCCTGGCAGTGCAGAAAACAGTACCCTGCTGGCTCTTGAAAGTTCTCCCTGAATGTGAAGAGAGGACCTAAAGATGATCAAGAGCAGGGGAGGATTTTGGTAATAGCCAGCCTTGATGTTTTTCTACCGAGACTTTGGAAGTTAGTGTATCTTGCTTTACCCATGACCTTTTAACAGAAATTTCTTGTTTCACAAATAGTGTGGACTTCCGCAAACCAGGCAGCTCTTAGGGGGCCAGGGTTCTGGTTTTGCTGGTGTTGTGGTGTTAGACCCTCAGTGTCCAAATGCCATCACCCCACTGTTTGGTGTCTGTAGTAGGAGCAGTGCACCACTAGACACATCCTGTAAGTGGTGGCTTGGCACTCTTTAACTGTGTCCTCGTGCATTGTGCTTTTTTGTAGGCGAATCACAGATCCCCATGTCAACTGTTCCTCCATTTAACTTGTCCTCAAATGACAAAAGTCACTGGTGAGCCTGAGCTGGTGCTGCTTGTGACTCCTAATCACATTTCAGCCTTCATGCTATGATGGTGCTTTTTTTCCCTTCAAAGTAGGTTGCTTTCAAGTGTCTTAATGAAACCATTTGCTGTAAAATTTCTTCTGAAGATAAAATGCATACTGCCTCACTGCCTAATGTCTTAATAATGTGCTTGGTTTTTTCCTCCTATATGAATGTATATTGCCTCATTAGGGCAGGAAGCGTGTGTGATTATGGATGTGTTTTCCTGTATTCCTTTTAGTGAAAAATTCCAGTTACCTAGGACTTTTTTTTTTTTTTTTTTTTTTTTGCCACTACCAGGATGTTCCTGCAGCAAAAAATCTGTTTGCAGACAGGTGAGGTTCTTTCTGGAATGTGGGAATTCAGCCTCCCAAGATCTTGTATTTATGGAATTCCTCTACTGATAATGTGAAGAGTGATGGGCCCTGGAAGAAAGTGGAAAGTATTTTTTTTTTAAACCTGAACTTTAGGGAGAAAGTTTGTGAAACATTTGTGAGCTTTTTTGAAGAGACTGATGTGTGTATGTTTGTGTCTATTTTGCATCATGTTCAGTGTTTCCAAATGGGTATTAAATGAATCAAAATAAATTAATGGAAAGGATCTGTGGAGTGGCCTGTTGATTTATGTTGACACATACAGGCAGGCTGAATGATCAAAAGCTGCCACTATCTCATGGCTATTCAGCTGTGAGCTGGACTTGGGAATAAGGGAGCAACAGGCTAGAGAAAACTTGGGAAACAAATGTTCTTCTGCAAAAGTTGACCTTTGGGTTTGTTGGTAGCGAGATGAAAGAGAGACCTACTGGCAGTTCTCAGCATCCTAGGAACATTGCCACATGGTTGCAATTTGAATGAGGATCTTCCATCCTGTGCGCAATGCATTGTCAGTATCTGAGGAGGTTCCTGGCCTTTTTATCCTGTGTCTTGCTTTCCCCCCAATACCTGCCCACATAATACACCCAGAACCCCAAAAAGGAACAATCTCTTGCTTTAAACCCTTTTCTAAACCATATTTGGAAATGACATGGATATTCTCCTTGTAGATAGTGGGAAGAAATATAACCTTTAATTCTGTTGGTATCTTGGGACAACTGCTCAAAGTCAAGATAACTTTTAATGAGTAGACTAACAGGCGCCTTTGATTGTTCCAGAGCTCTCCTTTGATTTGCCTGGGTGGTACTTCTGTCTGCTGTTCAGCTGTCTGTTTGAAGATAACTTTGCACTGCTGACAACAAGGACCTTCCAGCAGGGTTTTATTTGGATGAGACTGTTGTTTGTAGAAGGTTGTCAAACTTGGACACCCAAGCATGACCAGCTTTGTTAACTCCAGTGCTGTTGATGGGGACAGAAGAAACTTCTGTCTCTCCCTAGCTTTTATTTTTTTCCTTATATTCCCCATATTATTGTGTCTGGCTGTGCTGGCCTTGCAGAGCAGGGCCATGCCTGGAGTGGCAGCTTCTGTGCTGGGAAGGCCAAGGTGCACTGATGGGGCAAGTGCCTGTCATGGATAACAGGTCTGCAAAGATGTGGGCTGTGGATCACACTGCAGTGGTCCATGGAACCCTCCCAGGCTTACTATTGTTCCTCCCTGCCTAGGGGGAGCAGAGGAAATTGTTTAATATTTCAGGCACTCTTTCAGATCCAGCTTGTGCAGGGCCTGGGGGACTTGGAAGTGATTGGTGTACAGGTTTAATGAGAAGATGGTATTTCTGTGGTTAAGGTTTTTTGAAAACAGTGTAAAAATGCTGTAGGACAGGGGTGTCCAGTAGAGTATGGAGAGTTTGCAATCACTTCAAGGTTCTGTATTTGCTGTTGCACTGCAGTAAAAGTCCTCCCCCCACCCTGTGCAGGAGAACGAAAGCCTGGGTGTGCAGCCACCTCCCTCTCTTGCTAAGAAAAGCAAGGAGCTGACAGGCAGGAGTGTGCCTGAGCTGTGAGTGTGGGCTGATGACCAGCATTAAGGCACTGACATCTGCATCTAGCCAAGTGTTGGAGCAGGAGGAATGCTCTGGCACAGCTGCAGGCTGAAACGGTTTCCTTGGTCTGACAAGCTCTCTGTCACCCTCCTGTGGGAGCCTCAATTTGCAAAACACCAACATTGTGCCAGGGATTTTAGGGGTATCCTGTTCATCATCTGGCACGGCCTTGCTTCTGCCAAGGAGGTATGAGTTGTTTCAGCCAAGTGGAGAGTGGACCAGAGGCCTTCCTTGCTGTGTTCACTGTCAAGCCCCAGTGTGAGGAAAATTCCAGCAGAAAAATGGGAGTATAAAGCTGATTCAGTAGTTCCAGGAGCTCGTTGAGCACTACATGGCACAGACTTCCAATGGGAAAGAATGTCATAAGAGCAAGTGGAATGCTGTTAGCACCAAGTGTAGTTGCTGGCTGCACTGGGGCATTACTCTGGGAGCTCAGCCCCAGCTCAGCTCTTCCCTGCCTGTTTGGCTCAGTCCTCTGCAAAAAAAATGCTCCCTGCTCTTCCCCGCAACACGTGTTATCCAGCCTCTCCCAGCTTGTGCTTCCTCTCACAATCTGCCTCTCAATGCAGCCAGATGGTCTGAGCTCGCCCACACTCCACGCAGCACCTTCAGCTCCCTGCGCTTGGAGAACGCGCTCATCCGACCTGCTGCTGGCCAGGCCTGCAGGGAGATGGGGAGTGCTCGGCTGCTGCAGAGGGTGGCTGTGGGAGGTACCTGGGAGTCACAGCTGTCTTCAGACCTGCACTGACAACCTGGCTTTGTGGGCAGGGTCCTCTTTCTGGTCACGTCCCTGTGTCCACATGGACAAATTCCTGATGCTAAAGCTCTGCGGTGTGCTGCTGTGCTTGGGCACCCACCCTGTCCTATGCCACTTCATCTGCAGCACTTAATGCTAGTCTAGGTCCCTGGCTCTGGCCTTCTGTCCAGTGCCGTTCAGTTGGCTTGACACAATCTGCACCAACAGCTCAGTAATTTCAGATTTGGATTTATTGGAAACTTTCAGTGCATACATGGGTATTACTAACGATCTGTTACAAGATAACAGTAAACTGTTGTCTTTCTGGTGTTACTCAAGTATTTCCTGTACTGCCAAATGCTTTTGGAGAGCTTTGCCTATCTTGCTGTGAGAGGCAAATGATTCCAGCTTCCTGCCTTATGTTGTTACTAAGACATAGTGTACCTGAATGGCATTACCCCGTCTGCATTATGCTGCAGGTTAAGGTTAAAAACAGTCGTATGAAACTTCCATTTTAATCACAGCTTCTGTAAATGTCAGCTTCTGTAAAAGCTGCAATCTGCCTTTTTCATGGAGTTTTGTCTTTTTTTTCTTTTAAGTAGTTGATCAAGTGAAACAGCTCAGACAGACTTGCACAATACACCCTGAAACATTAAACAGTTTGGGAAGTGTTTAAATGACAATTGAGGCTCATAAACTTGGGATCACTGCTTGGTACCAAAATCAAAGCACTGTGCTTGTGTACTGGCTGGTGCTGCAAACAAGGCAGCCTCTTGCTAAAGAACTAATGTTTTAGACTTTTCAGTATGCAGTGATGTGATCTGGATCATTAGCAAATATGGTTTGCATAAAAAAACTCTTCCCTTTCCCCCTCCCATCCGAACTTTCCTGGCACAGTTAGCTAGAAACTGTGCTCTGGGTGGCCAAGTTCACAGCAGTAGTTAGGGGTCAGCTGACAGTAAGGTCTGTCTGCCCTCTGGACAAGCTATCACCCTACAGAGTACTGTCAACTGAAAAGCACCAGGTTACTGCTTAGGTAAAAAGAGGTGCAGTTCAGTTCTGTGTTTCTTTAGATGATGGAGGATTCATGTCATTGCTGCAGCTAGGTCTGCATGTGGAAATGGCCTTGACCTCAAAGACACCCTGTGCTAGGCTTTGGTTATTTGGGTTTCATAGCCACCAGCCAAAGACACCCCTACAGAGGCTTAAAAGGAGTAAGTCCATGAAGTGCAACATTAAACTGTCAGATAAGTTTCCATCTCTACTTCGTTTACAACAACACTGATTACAGGAAGCGCCCTTTGACTCTAAGACCTTCTGCACTTCGTAAGCCTTCCCCCTGGACTTGTTTCAGTCAGTAGGGAGATAGTACTGAACTGAATTGGTCTTGTTGACCCCTTCCCATCTCATCTGACTCTCTTCTGTCATGTTTGGAAGTTGGGGAGAATTTCAGCTACTCTCCTGCGTAGCTGGTTTCTTCTTTCTTCTCTTTCCCTTTCCTTTTTCATCAGTAATGGGTACTGCCTCCATGCCTTGAATGCGTTCAGTGTAAGTCTCCTGAAAGAAATTAGGGACACAAGGAACAAAGTCACAACATGCAGATGTGTACATGACATAACAGGCAATCAAAAGAGAACTTCTGTTTGAAAGGGGAATTCACATCTTGAAGATTTGTCCTTTCTGCACTTAATCAGGGCTCTCACATGTTAAGCATCTACATGCAGACCATTTCATTGAAATGTCAATCATGCTGGGGAGAAATAACATATTGCCTTTTTCTATTCCTCTCCACCAAGAATTCTGTTCTTCTCTCTGACAGGACTCATTAGCTGCTGTTTGCTTAGCACTCTAAAGATGAAAGAGGTTTTCTGAAGAATAAACAGGGCCTCTGAAATAAGTTTCTTTAGGACAAATGCAGGCTCATTTGGTCCAAACCAACCCCTTAGAAGTGCAGGCAGCTGGGTTCCAATTCTTACCTGATTTTAATCACTCCATCAAAGGTGCCCTTGCCTTGGGTTCCCACACAGGCAATAGGGAACCACAGTCCTGTCTAAAGAAGAGTTTGTTATGACAAGGTCTGAACTGCCTTTTGCAAGTTGAGAGAGAGATAAAGAAGCATGTCAGGTGATTATGCTCCTAATATCCAGTCTCTTCCTGGGTCTGACTTTCCCTTGGTTCCTCCAGTTTGCTGGCTTGTTAATGTTAAACTGCACTATTCAGACCTTACTGACACAGCAAGCTAGAATAGGTTTGTTCTACCACATAAGAGGTGAATTTAATTTCATTCTTCTTCTAGGGTGCTGCAGATCCTTTTGAGGCTGTGCACAGGCACAGTCTATTCATGACTGCATGCAGCTACCATGCTTCCAAGATGAGCCAGGTGAACAGGCTTCTGTTTTCTGCTGAACTTTGACAATAGTTCTTTCTTCCTGCTAGAATGCATTTTATGGGACAAGGAGTGGACTGGGTGTGTCCAGTTCTGGTCATGATTGGTACAACTGACTGCTCTAGTTTTTGCTGCCAAGTCAGGCTGGTGATGGCATAAATGTAAAGACTCCTTAAGTAGGATTTCTAGTTGATCAACTTTGGATTTGTGAACTAAATAATCTGCTGTGTACAAAAAAGTACTATGTAATTCCCACATAATCATTGGGCTTGCTGTAATTGTACTTAAAGATTTTTCTAAGGCAGCTTTTAGCAGAAGCTTCATGGCCAGATCTGCTAATCAGCTTAGAGAGTTTCAGCTTCTTATCCTTACTTAGGTTTTCACTGTATTCTCTTTTTTTCAGATTTAGAAGTCCCGTGAAGGGTGTCATTACGCTTTCTTTTCCAGGCTGCATGGAAACTTAGCATAAACATCTGCTGATGCTGTCTGTACATATCACAGAAGCAAAACACCAGCAGCATAGAACCTGTTCCATGTGTTCCTGGGGACAAGCTGACCTGTCAAAAGTAGCCCCTAAAATAATCTACAGGGTATATTAAACTAAAGTAAAAAGAACTGCTAGTAAGGGTATACACTCACTTGTTACTGTGTTCAGCAGCAATCTTCAGCCTCTCCCATAAGGCCCTTTTTTCCTCCATGATATGATCAAACCATGCCCAGAAGCACTTCCTCATGAGGCAGACTGTGTGGAAGGTACATGCTCTCTCCTCCTGAGCAGAGAGATAATCCTTGTACTGGGGAGGAGGACAAAGAAACAGGTGAGAATGGCTTTTTTTCTTCTTTTCTCTCCCAGCCTCTGGCCCAATAAATAAAACACTGCTGAGACTATGGCAGTGAAGGGTGGTGGGCACAGGAGTGGAGGAAAATCAGCAGGGATCAGGGTGAGACAGTAGATGGTAGAGGAGCAGTGTGTAAGAGAAAATTCTGTGTGGAAGAGTAATGGAGAGTGAGAAGCTGAGAGAAGGTCTCTGAAAAAGGGAATAATGTTGCTGGAATGGGGAGATAGCAAAGCCTTTGCCAAGTTATTCTGCAGGTGAGTGAATTGGCACTGTGGTTACAGGAAAGTGTGGCAGCAGCCAGCTCTCTTGGTATCATTTCTCCACTGTGGTGCAGGCCAACCTTTAGCCAGTTCCTGAAGCCCCATCTCAGTAACATATGGGAATAGAAGTCCTCAGCCTGAGACATCTTCTCCCCGAGACTCTGCTGGGTGTCCTGCAGCCAAGTCATCAGGCATTTCCTCTGCAGACCCAAGCTGTGGTGCCTTTCTGCCACCTGAGTAGAGACAGCAGCTGGTTACCTGAACTGATGACTACCGAAGTATAAAGCCACAGAAAATTGGGTGCACTAGAAAATCATCTTAGCTTTTTGAGGCCACCCAAACCCAGATTTCTGACAGCTGGAATAACTTAGAGGATCCCACAAAGAGCATAAGGAACAAGATCAGTCTCTCTACCAGGCCCCTGCTGCATCCCTTCTAGAGAATACCCTTTTGAATGAGATGCTCAGTTTAACTGATTGTGAATGGGGCAGAGGAATGGCTTGTAACAGCATAGCCCAAGCCTGTCCATAATGCTGACCAGCAGGGTGGACATATGGAACAGCTTGTATCCATCTACTTCTTCCCAGCTGGAGGCCTGTGTGCATTTGGTGAAGTACTGTGAGTAGCTCCAGTTCCAGTGACTTAAATGGAAGCTTTCCAACTTAGTCCTGGGCTCTAGCTGGATCTTCAGGATACAGCTGAGTGTTATCCATCTCTCCCTGATAAGGGATGCTGACTCAGTCATGTGCAGAAATGTTTCTTTAGCAATACTCCTGTATTGAGGTCTCAGAAGGTGCCACTCCCTGCTCTGCACTCAGGATAGGCCAGGATAGAATAGATTGTTAGATTATCAACTGTAGTATCCTGCCACTAGCAGTGGCCAGCTCTGTACCAGCAGCTTCACAGAGAGTGAAAGCCCTGATGATAGGCTGGGGTTAACTCCTACAGCTAAAGTTGCTTGGTGGTATCTCACTGATAAGCTTTGCTGTGGAGTAAGAAAACTGATAGGCACATGTCATATGATTTTTTTTTTCTCTGTTAAATCAGCTATAAATGAGGATGCCATCCCTGTGGGTTTTTAATGGCTTTTCATGATTATTGTCAGATGAGCTGATTTAAAGAACTAATATAAGGCAGGGTATGCAGGGAGAATTTTGCTTTTTCCATCTCTATCTGGCCTAAAAGCCTATTAAGGCTTCTTCTAAGTGCTGCATCTACTTTTTCCCTTCCTCCTATGGCACCAGTCATTTCCTTTATCCTCAGCACTTACCACTAGGTTTTCTTTGGTTTGCTCCCTCAGCCTTTTCCATGGCAATATTCCCAGCTTTCTGAGAAGGACCTTCTCATAGTGATCTCTAGCCTTTTTCTCGAGCTGCTGCTCTTTCTCCAGCCTCCTCTGCTTCTCCAGTTCTTTCTGCAATACGAAAAGCAGTAGTTTTAATTCCCTCAGGATGAAGAGGACATTAAGCAATGCAATAGACTATCATATTGGAGCTGGAGGTTTTGACCTGACAGGAAATAGGGATCTGCATCATCTTTAGCACTGCAGACCAGACATGACCCCATGCAGTAGAACCTGTGTTCTAAAGCATGTGTATTCTGGGAGATGATGGTATTCCTGGACACTCTCTTGGGCTGTGTATCAGCCCTGCCATTTGGAGTTACTGTAACAGGCGTCACCTGTGGCTACCACAAGTGCTGATGTAGCAGGAATCTTCTCTGATGTCCAAAACATGTCCCAAAATGATTCTGAGTTTATACATGGACCCCACCACTTAATCTAGCCTAAACAGCAGGAAAGGGATGTAGGTATTTCATAACTGTGTAACACTACTTTTGACTGATACTCAGGAATGAAAGTCAAATGTTCTAAAACATTCAATCCAAGTAGAACAGTAGCTGTAGGTTGAATTCATGTAGGATTTCAAATGCGCTATTTAGGTTATTAGGACTACTCATTTCCAAGTAACAATAATGAAGTGCAGCTATTCCTAGGTTAGCTCCAAGAGGAAAAGGTGACCTTGATATAACTGTCAGGCTCGTTTACTTCTGAATCATGTGTTTGTGACTGGTATCACTGCATAGATTGGAGCAGTGACAAGAGTGGAAGGAATCCGAGAGTAGACTAAACATGCTGCCACTGTGAGGGGCTTATGTGGCTGTAGACTCTCTGAGTCTGTACTGTGGGTGCTGTGGAACTATGCTCTTCCAATGAAGACCTTCAGTTCACATTATTCTGGCTGCTGACTGAGTACCAGTGGGTAATGGATCTTCTTCCTTATCCCTGCTAAAGGGGAAGAAACAGCTGAGGCATTTGGTCACCAGCTTCTGCTGCCTTCTCTCCTCCCGGCGCTTTTCCCGCTGTGCTTCCTTTTCCTCGGCTTCCTTCCTCTGTCGTGCTTCCTCTTCAGCCTTCAGCTGGGCCTTGAATTGGAGAAAGGTGAAATTCAATTTGTTCCATGTGACCTTTTCCATGAACACAGATCTTTAAACTTTCCTAGTATTCCTTTAATATTGACCAGAACATGAAGCTTCAGCAGGTGAAGTTTCACATACTAGACACAATCTGTGCTAGTGTGGAACATGGAAGGGATAGGGAGGAGGGACTGCCCTTTTTACTGCCTATATACATATCTATATCTGTCTATCTATTTTTCTATGTATGTACATGCATATCTTTGCCCTAGGTTATAGTATTTGTCCACTCTTCCTCTAAAAAAAATGTAAAGCATACACCAAGTCATTTATTGAGAACTTGATTACTGAAATCAATTCTGAATCCCTAGGCTCTGCTCTCAAGTTTCATTTCCACATGCAAAGCAGCATTACAGGTACCCAAACATTTCTTTCCCCGGACACTGAAATCACACTTTCTAATCCTAATGCAATTTACTAGCAATATTTTCAGTAACAGTTTAATACCCTGACTTGAAGAAGGCTCCTCTGTTGGGTGTGTATCAGACTTTGTGTATGAACTATACAAACATTGCCAGTATCTTCCCTCTTCAGCAGAGATTTGCTAGAAAGATTCAGATTTTTTACTAGGTGAGACTGCATGTCCTCAAGTTGCATGTGACCAGAGAGGAAAGGCAGGGAGGGGAACTCCATCACTGCCAGGTCCCATCAAGTGGATTGCTGTGGCATTTCCACCCTTACCATTCTCAGCAAAGACAAGCTACTGTCATGTGAAAAAAGTGCTGGGGAGTGGTAAGGGAGGCTGTTTCTAGAACTGCAACTTCAAGATGAAGTATCTGTCTATGATACAGGAGGGCTGGTTCTGCAAAAACAGCAGTAACTACTTCTTTTGATGTGTGATGGGTATTTGCTTTCTCACAAGTCACAAAACTCCTGCTTTGGATAAAGAGCCTTTTCTCAGTCCCTGACTCTGGGTTTAAAACAGCATTTCTTGTAACTGGAACAATGTTTCATTCCAGTTACAAGATCACTTTATTTCATTTTCCGCTTCCCTTACCAATTTTTCCTCTGCTTTTCGTTGTTTGGCTTCTTCTATTTTCTTCTTCTGTTCTGCCCGCTGAATCGCTCTCTCCTGCATCCCTGCAGAAACAAAGGACATAAGGCTTAGTGGAAATGAGCTATGGTGTAATGGCAGAAGTTTGGTGAACAAGGATGCATCACTCTAAGTCAGGCCCCCACTGCCCTGGCAACGCCAGCACAAAGGGACTTGCTTCCTGGTGCCCCTTGGAGCTGGCAGTGTCATGAACAAGGAACCTATAAACATTTGTGAGATGACTCAGGACCATGGCAATTACATTCTCTCCACCCTCCTTGGTTGACAGTCACAACCATGAGGCTCAGTTATGAAAGAACTGTGTTCAGAGGGTTTGTCCCTCCCTGCCTTGCCTGATTGAGGGCTGAGGCTCAGGGCACATGATTTAGCAGCAGTTGCTCTGAGGTCTCCAGTAAGCTCCAACTGGTTATTTAAAAGCAATTTCATTACATCATCACTGTCACAGGGACATACAGGTACTTGGTCCCACTAGTAAGAAACTACTGCTTAATGCTTCTTTTGGAAGATAAATTACAATGGAGTGATCTTGCTGGCCATCAGCAAAGGTATTACACACAGAACATACAGAGGAGTTGGGAACCTGTGCTTGCTTCCTCTGCAATTGCAAACAAAGCACAGGCTGGAGCAATCAATAACTGGGAGGCACTGAAGTGTTTTGACCACAGTAAGTTTCCTCAGATTCTTTCCTCCTCTCAGCTGTCCCAGGATTCTCATCCAAGGGAAAACCATTCAGTGATAACTTCTTCACTGAATTTTTTGGGATCTTTAAACACAACTACTTGAATGCTCTGAAAAATATGTTTGCTGTCTCTAAGGTATAGAGAGTTCAGGCAAATCAGGGTGAATGATGGCTTGGACTAGGTAGCATTGGAGATGAACACAGGTAGTGAAAGACATGGCCAAAAAGGTCTGCTGATCCCAAACTACTGAAACATCACAATGATTGTATTCCAGACAACCTTTCATGCAGACTGTCACTACCCTGCATTGATACAGAAGAACCTGACCTAAGGATATAACAGAACCCTGATTCTACTTTATGATGAAAAGGCTATGTTGCATGTTTATTTTGTGTCACTGTGGCCAGAGAAGGGGAGCTATCTTACAAAAGGCAAGGATCTGGAGTTCCTTCCCCAGCCTGGCTATTGTCTCACAAAACCTTGGCTAGGCACTTAATTCCCACTGAAATCTCAACACCTCTAACAAAGTTGGATGAAAATGACTGGCTAGTTTAAGTGTTTTTTGGATGCATAACAAAGGGAATGAGCCTTGTGGCAAAAAACACCTGTACAGCTTCTCTGAGTCTTGTCACAGCAGAGACACCACAGGTGTTGCAACAACTGCCACAACAGTGTGGACATGGGGGGCCTGCAGTGTCCCAGGTTTTACAAGTGCCTGACTCGAACAGGAAAACAGCTCACACTCTCCTCTTACAGCATTCGTCAGACTGGGAAAGAAAGTGCATAATTTTACTTGCACAATATCATCAACCAGCAAAGTTGAGGCAAGGACAGACATTTCCATACAAACTCTTAAGAGAAGTGGTCTGGAATGGTGTTTGTTGTCTAGAACAATACCTTTCAGTATGGGATGAGGTGAGGTCAGCCGGCTGGAAGGCCTCCTGCCTTGCATTGCTGCCCTTGTGTTTTCTGGCCCAGGAGAATCAGGTAGGCTGTGAAAGAAAAAGAGTAAGGAAATTCTTCAGTGAATGTGGTCAAACTATGTCTCACACCTACCACCTAAGGCCTTGTAGTTTCTGTTCTCCATTGTGCTGCATTATCCCTGATACACCTTTGTTTTGCTTGCTGTGGGACTGATGATGCACTCTTGCAAAGGAACTGAGTTCCAGGGCTCCTGCATGGTCTGGAATAATGGAGGATGATGCTCTTTTCTTTCATAACTAATTAGATCCCTGCTGCTACTATGGGTGACACTGGTGTTGCTGTTTCTAAATGGATCTTGCATGGATCACCTGATGTTGAGCCACTGCAGGGAGGGAGAAGGAGATTGAACTGCGGGCAGTCTGATACTTCCTTTGAGGCTAAGTCACAGCTGAGAGGAGCAGCAGATAGCACTAGCATGACTGAAATATGCCTGGCAAATTCTGGCTCAACTTGAGTGGGAATGAGATATGATGACTAACTGACCCTGCTTTATGGAGGGCATATACCTCAAAGGGGTTGTATTCTTGCATCTGGATTCTTTTTTCTCCCTGGTTTGCAAAACAGAACTGTGAAACATCTGGGTTACAGCCATAGCTTGTGCTGCCTCTTCTTTATCTCTGCTCAGCTTCTGATTTTCCTGCAGTTTAAGGATCAGCTCTTGCTGTTTCTGAAGCTGCTGCCTCTGTTTCTCAATCACACGTTGCTGGAAGGCGTGACGGTGCTCAAAACGACTACCATAAGCAGGAGACGTCTTTGGACTGCGTGCCTGAAACTGCTGGAAGACTGTGGCTATTTGATTCCTGTACACAGTCTGGTTCTGGGCACTCAGAGCTGCATGTTTAATGGTAATCTCCCAGGCAGATTTGGGGCTGCTGCAGAAATGAGATGTGTGAACAATATCCCAACAAGACTGGTCTGTGGTCTGATCAGGCTCTTTCTGTATGAGGTAAGTTTCAGTTGGCTAGGGAAAAACAAAAAGAAATGAGGAAAATTTGGCATTGATTAAAACCGAGCACTCTTCTGCTTTTCCTGCATAGTGGGTTTTTTACTGCAAATCTAGTGAGATGCCTGAGAAGTAGGGCAATCTCAGCTATACAATCCTTATCCAGTCAGGCCAGAGGGGCCCCATTATGCACAAAGTGGAGGCTGTGGAAAAGAACTCTTAAGAAGCTGTATGCCATTTCACCAGGAGGAAGAAATCCTGATTTGGCAAGAGCTTTGGCAGGAATACATCCTGACTATTTTGTTAGGGAGGACATCTTAGGACAGCTCATTTCTTGGGGATTAGCACACTCTCTTTTGGACTGTGTTGTCCCTGCTCAGAGCTCAGATGGAGAATAAAATTAAAAACAGTTGTTGAAGTGATCTACACAGCTGATCTACTGAACAGTCCCATTTTAAATGGAAGTCTTCAATGTCCTGCTTCCTTAAGCCTCTTTTCCAGCTTTGATAAATGTTACCACAAAACAGGTGCACAGTTGAGAATGAGGCTGCACCTTTTTGACACATGGTCATTCTCTGAAGAGGCATCAGATAAACAGTCTGCTTTCTGATTCCTAGGTCAAACCCTAAATTCAGTCCCATTCCTTGAGTACAAATTTTACCAGTGCAGCAGAAGAAAAATATGGGCCTACTAGGATAGTGTTAGCACTGAAAGACATCAACTTTTGCTTACACTTAAGCAAACAGAAAGCTTGACCTGTAATATGTGCATGTGAGCTCTGATACTGACATTAGATCACTGATGTGGTACAGGTTTTATAGACAGAAGGGAAGATGGGGATCTAACCTGACAAATGACAATTTAAGGAAGCAACCTCTTATTCTCCTCTCTTACCTCCCTGTGATGTGCATTATCCTGAAACAGCCAGTGACAACCTTTTTTCCTCCCATAGTTAAAAGCCGGAAAGCTGACTGGCATGAAAGATATCTCTTGTCATACAGTCAACTTACTCTTTTTAAGTCTAAGCTGGCATCAAAGATGTAACTAATCTCTCAGTAAAAGTGATCTGGGGGTGGGATGCTCATTGCGACTCAGAGTACATGAAGGGTTGTTCTTTGGCAGCACTAGAGATTATTTTTAAAACTCATCCATTGTCCTTCACATTTGCCTCTGATTTTTAGACTTCTCTCCTGAACAGTTGCAGGCAGGTATTTGGGGGGTAATACTGGGAAAGAAGATTTCCTCTGGGACAATGAACTCTTTATTTCAGACTGCATAAAGTAAGTACTTTCTGAGAATACTGATATGCTAATAGACAAAACTACATGAGAAGGATTTACCTTGTCTTGCTCTAAATCTTGATGATGGTTTACTTCTGCTGTCCTGGGCTTGTTAACCTCCAGTGGCCTGTCCCCACATGTCCCCAGTGATACAGCCTCCAGCAGCTGTTGCATCTTTCTCCTTGTCTGCTCCCTCTTCATCTGCAGCTCTCGCTTTTCCATCTCCGCTCGGCTCCAGCGCTGCCAGGCCAGAAAGCAGCAGCGCAGGAGGCGTCGCTGGTTGTGCTCCACAGCCAGTCGGGTTTTCCTGAATGGGAAAGCGTTTGTGTTATTGTTAGCGTTCCGGAACACACATAATCACGGGATATGATTATATGCAGGTGCTTTTATTAAGAGCTCCGGGAATAAGGGGTCCAGACCCAAATCTGACTCCAACATGGCTTTTGAGCTGAACATATTTTATATTCTATCATTATATAACTTACATATTAATTATTAAACTTATATTGTTCTATTGTATACATTGACATGAGTTTCTCATGATTTTTCTTAGGTCCCTAACCACAGTTTCTCATGATAATTCTTATGATTAAACGGTAATTATATTTAATTACTAAACAATCATCACATCTAACAATTATATCATTTATCATGTACAGGTGCAGTTCTAGCAAGTACTAGTTCTCCATGTGCTTAGGGTGTTTATTTTCCAGGGCCTACTAAGCTTATTTTTCCTTTTAACCCTTAATCCCCATGATTTTAAAATTCTTTTACTATCATTATGGCAGAGGTGAGGCTTCTGCCCAGGCACAAAGCCACATCACTTCCCGAGTCTTTTTGCTGCTTAACTCTGAAGGCCCTCTGAAGCTGTACAGAGCTCCTCCAGGGAGGAGTGGGAGGGCGGAAAGCATGCCTGCTATTCTGAATTAAGTTTCACTAGTTCACACTTAGCAATTTCCTGTGGCATCTCTGGGATGCAGGACAGCTGCAAAAGAGGTATCCTGTTCTCTGGCCAGCTGCGTATGGGGAAGTGACAGTGTCTCACCACTGCAGCCTGCCAGACACCTGTGAAGGGAAGTATCTTCTCTGGATGATAGGGAATTCATCCAACAGCCTCCTTAATGAAAGGCATTGGCCAAAATGATCTCTGCTGTACATCTACTGAAACAGCAAATATATTAATCAGGAATAAATTTGGCAACTCATATTCTCTGGAGTCCAGAGTAAGCCAGGGTGAGTTTTCTAGGAAAGATGCCTACAGAGACTGAGACACAGGCTTGTTGGAAAGTGCTAAAGCTCTTGTTTGCATCTGTTCTCCTTTTCATCTGTGCCACAACGCCTCTGGCAGACTGCAGGCAGTGTAGCAATTTTCTCAATAAGCTGCTGTTTCCCTCCTGCTGGATAAATGACAAGTTCCTTTTACAGTCCCTGATCACTGCTCTGCCCAAGTACAACTGCAGTAGGAGGAATTCCACAGTAAAGGGTCACTACCTGTTTTGATCTTGGAGATGAACTTCCAATTGCTCTGTCTCCTGCTCTACTTTCTGGGCCCAAGTATAGTTTCTCCAAGCTCGCAGGGCCTTCAATTTGCATCTCCAGTCAGCAAAGGCTCTGGCTTTTCCCATTTTAATTCTGTACTCCAGAATGACTTTCAGCCAAGCAGAGAAATATTGCTGCAAGCACTGCATGGGAGAGTTTCAAAAAACCAATGAGCAAGATACAGCCTGTCACACAAATACTGATCCTCTCTGCCCTTTGCCTTTTCTGGCTTTCCTTTCCTCTGGATTCTTTTTATAATCCTCATTTTCAACAATTATCTTGAAGATTAAAAAAAAAAAAAAGTATTGCAGAGCATGTGCAGGTCTTTTACAAAGAACATAAAAGTTTTAGGAAGAGACATCATATCAAGGGGCTCTATGCTTTGGAGTGAAATGCACTTAGTTCACCGAGTATAAAGGAATGAAATGGGTAAGGAACATACAATTTCTAGAGACAGGGAAAATATTTTCAAATCTAGGGAAGATGTCTGAGATGCTACAGGTAAGAATACATCTGTGAATAACTGCCGCTTTTTTTGAAATAAAAAAAAAAAAGATTTTTAACTTAGACAAAAATCAAAATGCTTCCTAGGGTAAATTTATGACACGGCCTCAGCTCATCCTTGTTCCAGCAAGAAGCCAAACCTTTCCCCTATTGTGTAATTAGACTCGCTGCCTTTGGGAGTAATTTACATTGTACAGAGCAGCAATTTGCTGTCTAATCTACCCCATAATTCTAGCCCTGTCACTGCAGACACTGTTCATTTTGATCCTCCAAGTGGGTCAACTTACAAGACTCTGCTGTTCCCCTTTTGTCATAGTGCCTTGTGTTAATTGCATTCCTCTCTTGCTGGAATCTTCAAATGGAGACTTACAAAAAGTCAATGCATTAGCTGTTTCTTTCTGCTTTAGGAAAGTAATCAAAATGTCACTATTGCTTAGCTCAGCCAAGCTGTGTCAGTGCTGAATTGTTCTGTGGTTTCACTCAGGCTTATCTTCACAGCTTAGACTGTGCTGGAGAGAGGCTGTGTACTGATAAATAGCAGCCAAGCCCAAATTCAGCAGATGGGCAGATGGATTGAACTGTGAGGAGAATCACCATAAAATCTACAGGATTCTTCTGCTGAAAAAAACCCTAGATGTAGACATATAGACATCAACGATGATGACTGCTCCATTAATTAAAAACATTATGGGATGGATGGCATTCATACCTGCACTCAGGAAATGTATTTCCTTTGCTGAAACTGCTGAGATAATACAAAATTATTCAATACTAAAATATCAATCTTTAGTTGTGAATATTTGATACGCATTTAACCCAGAGCTGACCATGGATAATGAAGGTGAAACAAAGGGGTTCCTATTAGGAATTATTAAAGTTTGCCTCGAAAGAGCTGTTGCAGTAACACAGAATATCCTACTGCACCTAGTGGAAGGGATCCTTGAGGAACCTCTTATTGTGGATGTGCTGGCATGCATCAACTCTCAGAGCCACTGCTCAAAATTTATCCCAGGCTGTAGCATTTCTCTTTCCTCTCCCTGGTCCTGAATTAGAGTGTGCACTGTCTTCCCATGCACACAATAAGGGCTTCTCAGGCCTTTTTTTCTGCCACTTTCCCCTTTTATTTACTTCCTTAAGGGAAAATAAATCTCACTCCATTTCCTCTTCTGTACATCTCCTTATTTCTTGATTGCAGAAGCCATTATGGTCTCATCTGTCTTGAGAGCCATGTCTTTTCCACAATTCTAAGTGAAATGTCCCACTGAATACACTTGAGACACAGGCCCAGTGGGATTGGCACCTCAGGATTTCCTGTTCCTAGTCTTGTAAGACACTTTTGGCCCTGCTTTCCTACTTTTCTGGTATCAGGAGCTTGTTGAAAAAGTAAAAAATTCAGTATAACCAGGACTTTTTACTTCAGGTTTGCAAATGGTAACCAAGGGCAGGTAGTTCAGAGTTTCAGATAAAGAAAGGTGATGCTCACTCTCTGCTTACTGGTGTGAATCCTGCGCAGCAACTCCAGAGTCTTCCTCTGTTTCTCCTCTCCTTGCTCCTCCCTCTTCAGGACCAGGGGTGGTGACACAGCAGACACCTCCTGTATTGACAGCTTCTGAGTTTTTTCTTGTCTCTTCCCCTCCCTGGAAAGTGAACAAACACACAGATTTAATATCATGATATACAATCTAATAGCTTCTTTTTTTGGCCAATTGTAAGAGAACCACCTCTACAGCTTAGAAATTTGCTGATTATTTTAACTCTGCCTTCTTAAAAACCACCTCTGTAATGGTTTGGGGCCCCAGAGATTAAACAGTCCAGTGCATTTCCTAAACATAGAAGGCAGAAGAAAATAGTAAATTATTTCAGTAAATATTTCATTAAAGCATTTGTGTAAGAAGATTTAGGATCTCAGGGCTGCTAAAATAAATAAATAGCATCCCTAAAAGGGACATCTCTGTGACAATCTAAGCTCAGCAGAAGAAAACAAATAATGTCTCTGCAGAATTCTCAGCCAAAAATGCTCTTTATTCTCTCATAGTAGGGAAAGTACTGCAAGTGCTAGACTTTCAACATAGACTTTTGTTCTTTTATTTTTTTTGTGTACTGGCTTTCATGTGGCATTAGATGCTAGCAAGACTGGACGTAGCCGTAGAGTTGACAGAGAGAATGCACAGTCGTGCAAACACTCTGCTACTTTGTGATTCAGTGCACCTACTGTAATGGTTGAGGGGAGGATAACAATATCCTTAGTACACCTTCCCACTCATGAAAAACTCTGCCACTGATGTTGGTAACAGAGGACTAAATGGCTTTTGTAGAGTTCAAAGTCACAACAGCTGTTTTGTTAGGAATGACCACTGCTCTTATATTTAACAAAAAGACCTTATAAGTGGTTTTCATCTCTCCACACCCCCCACACCCTTCCTTACATTCTCCAAACTTTTGCCATGGTGTACTTCTTCTCAGCCATTTCCTTTCTTAGCTTCACTATTTCCCTCTGGATCTTCTCTTCCTCTTTCTTAGCCTGCAGGGCCTTTTTTCTGTCCTCCTCCTGTGCTTGGAGCCTGGCCTCAGACAGAATTGCTTTCTTCAGGGACTCTTCTTGTCTCTGAAGCTCTAAAGCCTTCTGATGTCTCATTCGGTTTTCTTTCACCTGGGCAGAAGAAAATTGGCAAAAGTCAAAGCAAACATGAAAGGCTGAAGAATTTGAAGTTCACTGTACACTGCCAGGGTAGGTCACAATCCACCTTTCACATTAAGCAAGAAACCTTATCCATAGCAGACTCACTGGAGAGACTGTGCTCTTGACCAGCAAAACACTCCATGTGAGAGAGTGAAATTAAATCAATATTCCTTAATGGCAGCAAACTCAGAGCTGACAGCTGTGGCAGCTCTTCCCGTCAGTCTTCAGAGAAAGGGGGAAAACCTGAACAGTTTTAGTGAAACCTGACTGTGCAAGCTACTGCTGAAAGGCTGATGTGCACATGGAGATGCAGTAAAGTTTCAGCTGAACTGTGGAAGGGTATCTTTGGGTAGTTGCTTCCAAGTCAGAGATTATTGCAGGCTCTGAGAGAATACTGGGGATGTATCACTGAGCATTTACTCTAATCCTATAATCCTCCACCTTATTCCTTTTAACTGAGCTGCCTTGCTGCTCACCTGCTTGTGTCTGAGCTCCATGATTATTCGTGGATCTGCAAGTTTGTTTTTTTCCTTGATCTCTTCAAGTCTAAGATGTTTCGCTATCCCATAGTTCACAGCTTCACTCTGCAAAAGATGCTGGAGGTATTTCTGGACAGAGGAACTTTCCATTTCACATTCCAGATAGCTGCATAAGTCTGAAATGAGAAATTCAGATTATCTCAGGGTAGTCTGAAATGAATAAACCCTTCTGTCTCAGATCACAAAGCCTAATGTAATTAAAGGGATCACTTCCCCAGACTGTGAATGCATTTCTGATGAACATGGACACACTGACTGCACTCCATTTATCCCCAGAGTGATAATCAGTCTCCCACTGAACACCCTAGGGCAGTAACAATGTTTCATCCATTTTTTACTGTCTTGCCCCTGAGCATCTCAAATGGCTGTATAAACTTGACAGGCCTCAAAAATACCTGTTCACAAAAGAAAAAAAATCTCTTTTACAAAGGGAGACATTGAATGTTTATGAGTCACATTTATGTAGCCCTACAGCAAGATGCTTTAAAGATCTGGGGGACAAAACCATCCCATTTAATCTTGTTTCTATTGAGTCCACTGTCCTGGCCTCAAAACAACTGTTACCTTTCAGTCTTTCAGACAAACCATAAGGCCTGACCTCCTTCCCCAGCAGACCCTGAGGGAGGAAACCAGGACCTGCTTTGCAGTCCTCTCACCATCAAAGTGCTCATATTTTGGAGGGGCTGCAGAAGGTTCTTCCTGAAGGACAGAGTCAACTTCCTCTTCTCCATCGCTCAGCTCCAGTTGCAGCTGGGACTTCATCCAGTTACGGAGCAGCTCCTGGGCTACCACGAAGAAAGAGACTGATGACTTCACTTGCTTAGAAAAAACATATGGCTAAGTGTAAACTAGCAATCGTCTGGGATATTTATATCACATTCTAGGAATGACTGAAACCTGATATGCAACAGAAAATGCAATAAAGCTAATAGTTATGTTCTTATCTTCTTGATCTGTAAAAGAACAAGAAAAGGTGGCAAACTTTTTCCCTGTCATGTTTATCAGAAATTAATTCTTCTCCACGTCATTTTTACTATGATTCTACAGGCATTTAGATCACTTGTGATTATTTTCTAGCATTTATCAAGGAGATGGAATTCACATGAGGTCATTAATACTTTAGATAGCTTTCATATGTTTTGCCACTGCACTTGCAGACACTTAGATGGTTTCCACATGCGCAGGCTAGGCTGTCATATGCTAAATTCAAAAGAACCACTGTTTGGACAAACTTTTGCTTCATGTGTACGGGTTAACCCTTTGCAAGTGCCACAGAAACAATTACAAATCTGTCAGGTGGCAAACTTCACCTGGAACTCAAGGTCATGGGTGCAGCTACAGGAATGCACCTATGATGGATGTGGTACTTCTCAGTGAGCTCAAATGCCTAATGAACATCTGTGATAAAAAAATTAAAATTCCTTTTTCAGAGTTTCTTCTCAAAAGCAAGGTCAGCTCATGTGTCTGCTGCCTCAACAAACCAGCTGGCCTTGCAGTATGGGCCAAGCTGCATGAGCCAAGCTGCTCCTGAAGCAGGACACAGGCCTGTAAACTGCAAGGCATCAGGAGCAGCCCCACAAGAAGCAGAACCACCCTCAGCCATCCATGTGGTGAGGATGGACAAAGCTGGGATCCCAGCAGCCACTCCAGCAGGAGTCACGACACAGTGTAAGACACACAGTCAATGGACAGGAGCAAGCAGCTGCTCCTCATACCCACTGCTAACACACAGTGAAAGATGCCCCCTGGTATTTCTAAGGCAATAAAGCCTTTTTCAAACTTTCTTTGAAAATGGTGAGTTTTTTGAAGAAAACATAAATCTAATGTTTGTTGTCCTTCAAATCACTTTTATTCTCTTTCATAATCTCTCCAGCCAGATCAGGAGCAGGGAAATATATCTGATAACAGAAAGAAGAGCAAAAAACAACTTGCCACTTGAGGAAGGGTTACTTTTTTGACTGGGGTTTGTGATTTTCTTGTAACTAGAGTAAAAGTCTGGCACTTCTCTTTACAAAGTGCGCTTTGTGTAGATACTACCATTAACTATTGTAATAATGGATTCCAGGTGAAAGAATTTCAGTTGAGCTAGGAGCAATTCTGAGGGACTGGTAGCTATAATAAGGAAAATTCTAGCAGAGAAGGGCAAACAAAAATAATAAAGAAACATGAGGAAAGCAAGCAACCTTTCCACCAAAGGAAAAGACAAGGCTTTTCACCACAGCAAAGACAGCTCCTTTGGAGCCATTGGCTAATACATTCAGACAGTGCACTGTAAGCAGGTAAGTGCATTCCATGCTGTTAGCTGAACCCTTGATGATTACAAATGAAAAAGCTGACTTCCTGGATTGAAGTGGATGCTTTTAAGATGTGTCATCATCTGGTTCTGTAATGCTGACTTTTGATTCTTAAAAGAATGGTTAACTCAGTTTTTAAAATACTGTCTCCTCTCAGCTTTTTACACTGCAGACACATTTCTAGCACTGATGGGTGATAATTTCCCTTCTTTTTGTTTTTGAAACCTACCACAGCTTTACTTTCAAACTTCAGCAAGCACTTTTAGCTGCAGGTTTTACAAAATAAATATTTATTTAGGTAACTAGTGAGGAAAACTTTGCATGGGAATCAAAACAAAACCACAGTTATTTCTAGATGTGAAATTTACACAGAGCTACTCCACAAACTCCATTTTCAGGACTACTCTGTTATCATAAACATGTCAGGTGATTTCACCTGGTTGTAATGCACTAACTTGGTTTTGACCATACAGTGCATCTTCAAGGGCAGTTCTTATCCTTGTTTTGACCTTGGTATCTCCAGGAGACAGAGAGTTAATCTTTCTCTCAGGTATGCCATTCAAGATCTGCCTTGAACTCCAGCAATTGGTCCTTCTTATGCTTGTCTCCATTAGATGAAAGACATCTTACTATAAACTGTTTCTTGTGAACTCAAGCTTTGCAAGAGCCTGTTTAGGTCAGAACAACAAAGCTGGATCAAGAACAATTCATTTTAGGCATCTTGTGGCAAGCAGAATTTTACCTCACCTTCGTCACAGGCCTCACGATGAACTTGCAGCCGTTCTGCAGTTTCCAAACTTGTCACAGGACCCCAAGGCCGATGTGCACACCTTGACTTTTGGAGGGAAAAAGCTTCAGAGACACCATACTCAGAGGCTCGGTCCACTCTCTTAAATTAAAGAAAGGAAAACATTTCTAAGGACATTTATTTTTACACTTCTGCTATCCACATTTTTCCTCCAGACAGCAAAAAGAATGGGAATGTAACACAAAAGCATAGATGTTATAAAGGAATAGATTTTTTTTTTTTTAATGCTTTTCTACAACTGCTTGATCTGCTTGATAAACTGGACTTAGATGTCATTAGGGAATAAACACTCATTTGGCAATTAGTGCCAAACACAGAGACTGGAGAACACAGAGGGAATAGAAACACTCAGCACCTGGGGGCTGGATGGAGACTTGCTGAGCTGGTGCCCAGCAACCAGCAACTATAAAATTTTATATCAACTTTTTGTCATAGCCAGTCTGAGAGGATTTCTGTCCCATATTCACCTTTCTGAAATGCTAATGGTCCTGACGTGTCACTGTGTTTTCACAAGTAACACCTATGCCCCAGACAGTCCAGATTTCTGAACTCCTTCCCTCTGTGCTGCTGCCAGAGGTCCAGGATGCTGCCTGAGGAAGCAGATACACACTCCTACCTGCCACAAGAAGCAGGCTGAAGGTTGGGAGCATGGGTGTGCCCAAGGAAGCAAAACAAATGGAACCTCACCCTAGAATCCATTTTCAATGATGAGGTGATTGCAGGTGCAGGACACAGTGCTTTGGGGTAAATCTCTTGTATTGCTTGCCCTAAGAACCTGTAGCACTCCTCAACAGCAAGTTTTTTGTGTTGGGTTTTATGCATAGCAACAAAACACCTTATTCTTCATAGAATTTGGATTAGAAGGTACCTTTACAGGTCATTTAGTCCAGCCTCCTTGGCATGAGCAGGGACATCTTTGATAACACTAAGTTGGATGGGAATGTTGCTCTAGTTGATGGCAGGAAGGCTCTGCATTAGGGTTTGAACAGGCTGGATTGATGGGCTAAGGCAAATTGCATGTGCCAGGTCCTGCACTGGGGTCACAACAACCCCAGGCAGCACCACAGGCTGGGGGAAGAGTGGCTGGAAAGCTGCCTGGCAGAAAAGGACCTGGGGGGGCTGGCTGACAGCAGCTGAACACGAGCTAGTGTGTACTCAGGTGGCCACGAAGGCCAATGACATCCTGGTCTGTACCAGCAATAGTGTGGCCAGCAGGACCAGGGCAGGGATTGTCACCCTTTACTTGGCACTGGTGAGGCTGCCTTGAGTCCTGTGTCCACTTTTGTCTCCCTAAACTCAGGAAAGACTCTGAGGTGTGTATTCAGAAGTCAAAGCTGCTGAAGGATCTAGAGGAGCAGCTGAGGGAACTGGGATTGTTTAGAGTTGAGAAATGGAAGCTCAGGGGTGAACTTGTCACTCTACAACCATCTGAAAGGAGGATGTAGCCAGGTGGGGGTTGGTCTCTCCTCCCATGTAATAAGTGACAGGATAAGGGGGAATAGCTTCTAGTTTTGTTATGGTATATTTAGATTAGATATTAGGAAAAATCTCTTCGCTGAAAGGGAGACTAGGCATTGGAACAGGCTGCCCAGAAAGAGGTAGAGTCACTATCCCTGGAAGTGTTCAAAAGCCCTGTGGATGTGGCACGTGGGGTCACAGTTTGGTGGTGAACGGGGTGGTGCTGGATTAATGGTTGGGGCTCGATGATCTTAGAGGTCTTTTCCAACCTTAATGATTCTGTGATCTTCAGCCATCTCAGGTTACTGAGAGCCCCGTCTAGCCTGATCCTGAATCACTGCCCAAGTTATTCAGCCTTGGCCCATTGTTCCAAGCTACCCAAACCACGGCAGGGACTAAGGAAAACCACAGCGTTCCAACCTCCCGTGCCTCTTCCTGAACCCGAGTTTCACAATGCCAACTTCGGCGCCTTTCGCTCGACTCCAGCGCGACTTCCCACCCGCCGGCAAAGCCGCACGGCCCCGGAAACCTCATCCGCGATCCTGACCGCGCCGTGCCGAGTGCCCGCGATCCCAGGGAAGTGGGATCGCAGGGAAGCGTGCCGCCGCCGGCGCCCCCCGAGGCACTGAGGCGGGCGGGCCGCGCTCCCCCGCCGCGCCCGTTACCTGCGGGAGGCGCTGCCCGCGGGGCGGCCCCGGCCCCGGCCGCAGCCCCGGCCCCGGCCCCGCCGCCCGCCGCCCGCCGCTCTCGGCCATGGCAACGGCAGGCGGAGCCCGCCCGCCGGCGCCCGGTGATGACGGCCGGCGCGGGGCGGCCCGCGTTGCCCGCGTTCCCCGCCTTCTCCGCGTCCCTGTGCGGCGCCGCGGGGCGAGGATGAGGCTGAAGCTGCTGGGAGCGGGGCGGCTGGGCTCGCTGGCGGGGCTGGGCCGCGGCGGGGCGGGCGCGCTGGCGCTGCCCGGCTGCCTGCTGTACACGCGGGCCGGCGCGGCGCCGCACCTCACCCACGACACGCTGCGGGAGGTGCGCGGCGTGCCCGGCGTGGCGCACGTCGCCCTGCCCGCCCTGTGAGTACCGCGCCCGGCCGGGCCTCCTGCCCCGCCGAGCCCGCTGCGGGGGCGCGGTAGGAAACGGGGGGGAGGGAGCTAGAGGGCTGCGTGACTTTTAGCGTAATTAGGCCAAACCCATCGTGGTGACTTCACAGTCATCCTGAGGTGGGCAGCGGGGCGAGGGAGGTGATTCTGCCCCTTGCTCTAGTGACACCCCACCGAGAGTGCTGCATCCAGCTCTGGAGCCCGCAGCGTGGGAAGGATGTGCGCCTGTTGGACCAGGTCCTTTGGAGCACCACAAAGACGCTCAGAGGGCTGGAGCGTCATTCCTGTAACAACAGGCAGAGAGATTTGGGTGTGTTCAGCCTGCAGAAGAGAAGGCTCCAGGGCGACCTTTTGCCAGCCTTCTGATACCTAAAGGATACCTAGGATAGATGGGGACAGATTTTTTAACAAAGCCTGTTGTGGTAGGATAAGAAGTAATGAGTTTAAACTGTAAGAGGATATGTGTTGTAGTGAGGGTGGTGAAACACTGGACCAGGTTGCCCAGAGAGGTGGTAGGTACCCCATACCCAAAGAAGTTTAATATAAAACTGGAGCAGCAACTAACTCTCAAAACTAGTTAAGTTGCAACCGAAAGGAAAGATTAACCTGGTTAAAGCTTGTGCAGTTGTTGAATGATGTGAACACATTAGTGATGTTCCCAAAAAAGTCATAGTATAGCTTCATGCTCTTCATCAAGTCAGTGGTCCCTGGTCAGTGCAGGTGAAAGCTTTACTTTTTTGCCACAGAACTATGAGTGCCCCAGGTTGTGAGCTGTGATTCTAGAGCTCTGTTACTCTGGCATTTCTTTCCATCTGTCCCTGCTTCACTGTCTGACAGCTGGATGGCAAATACCACTCAGTGTCAGACAATGCATAAGTATGGAAAAAAAAGCCTTAGTTATGAAACCACCAATCTCTCTAGACAGTTGTCTGTTTAGTTAATGTGTTCCTATATCTGGATTGCAGGGCAGAAATTCATGACGTCCTGGAGGAGTATAAAGAGGGAGCTGCAAAATTTATGGGTAAAGTACTAGTATTTGCTTGTATATCTGAGAGATAATACAGGTGGATCCCACTAGAGCATGTTCAGGTAGTATAGTAGGGTTTATATGGGCTTTGCATATTTAGGGATTTTCTCACTCAAAGTGACACTAAGGAAGACTTGAAATTGTATGTTGTCACTAGGCCAAAAATCCTTCAGTCAGGCTTGACAGTCATGATGTATGTAATTTCTATAAATTACAGATAGTTCTTTGTGTGGAATCTAGTACATTTTGCAAGAAAAAAAAATGAGTTGCCTAAGCTTGATTTGTTTGTTTTAGTTTCTTAAAAAACACATAAAAATTTGGGACATGCATTTCATTACATATAAAAAAAAAATGATGGTTTGGCTTTCCAAAAGAAGTTTGCACCCACATTTCAATAAACCATACCTGTTTGGAGCAATTTACTCCTTTAAGAAAAATTGAAAAATGTCTTTATCTGGAACTTCCTGGAGGCTTTGCCAGTTTCAGTGACTTTCTCTGAAGAGAAGGCTGTATGTCACAGAGGCATACTGTCTAGCTGTGTGACATTTGAGATCTCCAGTCCAGCAGGGATGATAAATTTCTCATTTGTGTAGTTGATACGTTCTCTCACTCTCCTTTTTTGTGAGGATGGTGAGCCACTCAAACAAGTTGCCCAAAGAAATTGTGAAGGTCCCATCTCTGGAAATGTCCAAGGCCAAGTTGGATAGGGCTTTGAGCAACATGGTCTAGTGGAAGGTGTCCCTGCCCCTGAGGCATGATCTCTGAGGTCCCTTCCAACCCAAACCATTCTATGATTCTACTTTGTCCTTCCTTAAAAGTTCTGGGCTTGGGACTGTTGCTAGTTTGGATTGTGTCAAGTGTCAGATGTCTCCAGTGTATCAGATATCAGTTGGGTAGTCAAGTGAGTCAGCTGTTGGGTCTGGAAAATTTTAATAGGTGGAGTATTAATCAAGAAGAAAGATAAATAAATCCTGAAGCAGCTATGCAGGCTGCAGAACCAAAGGGTGTTGTTTCATGGTTTGTCCTGCTGCTGCACTCTTCTCCAGGCAGTTAGTAAAGCTGGGGAGGAAGTCTGTCTTGTTTGGTGCTGAGAGATAGATGAACAATATTTTCTTTGTCAGAATGGATTTATTTGTTGGGGGACAATACCCTGTTCCCCTTTGCACATCTGCAGACCACATCTTTACCTTGGCTTTGCTTTGGTTCACGAAACTCTGCTCTGGATCTGTCTCTCTGTTTTCAGGTATGCCAGATGCTGTGCTCTACTGCTCCCTTCATGACCCAGTCACTCCCTGCCCCTCTGGCTACAACACTAACAAGGTACAGTAGCTGTAAAGACTTGAAAGGGTCCACCTACATTCCCAAAACAAATCTGCCAGTGCCCCCTTTATCTCTGTGGGTGCGCTCAGACAGCCACAAGCTTAGCAAAATAAATCTTGCACAAAGAGGATTGTCATTTACATGCTCATACCTCGAACTAAATAAAGCTGCACATGTTTTTACTTGGCAGCATGTTCCCTGCTGTTGTGGTTTAAATGGCAGTGAAAGAAAATACCTGTGTTTTGGCATATTTGCAGTACAAGCTTATGCCACTGATAAGCAGTAAATCTGACCCCCTGTGTGTGTATTTACATACAACTTGCTACAGGCCCACAAAGGGGAAGGACATCAGAATTTTTGCAGGAGGGTGGCTCAGCAATCCAGGGGTGCATAGTTGCAGACATTTGCCTGTTGCACCCTACAGGCACACGCTCTGCTGTGCAACCCACACACTGCCTGCTGCCTGACACAGCTTCATGCTGGAGCTCCTGGCACTTGCTCGGATACAGTCAGTCCCAAGGGATTTTTGGGTATGGCCACAATTGGTGGAAGGTCACTGAGTGAAGGAGGATAACTCCTGCCAGACAGCTATCAGTGTATATTCTTTGCTGCTGGGATCCAGGCTGAGTCCTGTCTCTCTGCAGGGAGGGAATTACCTGGAACTTGTCCCACTGTTGTGCAGCTTTGAGGTTAGAGCAGCAATCTAAACCTGGGTGTTTGATTCAGAGACTTTTGGGTTTTTAAAATAAGCTGGTGAAGATATCTGTCACCTTGTTGTAAGGCCTTCTGCAGCTGGATCTGTGCTGACAAATAATAAGGAAAGCTTTTTGAAAGCAATGGGACAGAAAGCTCTGTGCCAGAAAGCCTAGCACTGGCTGGATTTAAATAATCACAGGATAATGCTCAGCTCTCTAAGCTGAGTGGCTATTTTATTTATTAAAGCAGCTTTTTTCCTCTAGAGAACAGAATGAAGGTAACTAGATGTGATTACACTCTGCCCTTTAGCTCAGACAACTGTTGACTTTCCTCTGCCTGCCTTTACCAGCTGTTCCTTAATGCTTTCACAGTAGAGGCAGCAGGTACTGTCTGAACAACATGCTGCTGCAGAAAAACATACAGCTGCTGTGTTTCAGTTCTTCTGTAGATGCAAAATTTGGAACTCTTTTGGAGTTGCTCTTTTTTTTTTAGTTGGAAATCTGCAAAAAATTTTATCGCTTTGGAGACTTCTGGTTTTATTCAAATTTGGTGAAAATGGCTGATAAGGTCAGAAGTAATCAGGATGGATGGATGGATGGACAACAGGCTCGTGGTATACTTGTGCAATCCTTTTGGATCTTTGTGGAGATCAGACCAAAAAAAAGGCTTCTGTTCATATTTTTTGCATGTGCTGATGCAATTCAATTTGCAAATTAATATACATGAGAACTGCTCTGCTTAATCTGTCTGTCTGGCATAGGCTATGAGAATGTGTTTATACCCTCAGGCCCTAAAAAGTGCCCATAACACTCCAAGCTATTTGCTGTTTCTGATGGCTGAAAACCCTTTCTCATTTAAAAAAGCATGAACAGAATTGCAGATGAAAAGAGCTGACTTCTGAAGGGTTCAAGCCCTTTACTTAACCTACTTGAATACCCCTTTACAATTTTGGAGCAGAGTTTCAAAAGCCTAACAATAATACAACCAAAGCAATGGCCAGACTGCACTCACAGGTTGATTACAGATTCTGCAAAGTAGGCTAAAATGTGAACATTTTATGAATCTGAATGTGTAGTGAATTGAATGGTGACATCTGATAGCCTAGACTGGAGTTGTTCAGGTAAGATAACCTCTCTGTCCACATCTTTTTGTCTTTCTATAAATTCTTTTGAGGGTATCACAGAGTAACAATGGAAAATGGGATCCCATGTGTGCTGGCAGGATGGGAAGCATATGAAGAGACAGGGAAGATCATGTGTGAAATCCTAATGAGCACGTGCCATTCCTTACACTGGCTCGGTTTGGGTATTTCAGTGCCTTCTAGAGTTGCTGGATTTGGGACCTAAAATAACATGGGGTTCTAAGACTGAGTGTTTAACAAGCTTTTGTATTCTTCCCAGTCTGCATGGTTTATAAAAACACATACATTCATATGTGCTGTGTGTGTTAAATGCTCAGAAGAGGAAGTAGTTTCTTGGGTTTGCATTTTGTACAGAAAACTAGCAGGTTGTATTTGCCATC